ACAAAATGAGATCATCTAGAACTTTCTATTACATTTTTACAGGTCTGGTGCATCTTGATATTACCCACTTGCCCAGAGACGTGCAGAATCTGCAACAAAATGTGAACGACAGGGACAGAGAGAAACAGAAAGAGACTGAGAGATAGTGACAGAGAGGGAAGGAGAAAGAAGGAGAAGAAGAGTAGAACAAAGTCTGCCGGGTTCCTCTATTTACATAAAACCTATTAGTTCCAGAACGCCTAGGTTAATACAGAACATTTTATATTAAACATAGTAAGAAACCTCAATTCAATTTGTAGCTACTGGCACTTTGCAGTTCCCGAAACAAAAAGGGTATCTCATATTCCTACCTCTTACCCAACGTGAGTTTGGCCATATATCAAAGATGTATTAACTCGTTTAGTGAATTGAGAACGTGGAAGCTCGTCATTCGGTGGACGTTGACAGGGGTTGAATGACCGTGATAGGCTGTCTGCTTCCGGTCCCCACTTCCCAAGGGTGTCATCTTGTCCCCCTCCCCCCAGGGACCACTTCTGGCCCTTGCTCACAACCCTCAGGTCCCAGAACCCAGGTGCTTGCGGTGCTATCGTGGTGTTCACTGTGTCCTCTGGACACCTCCCTCGAGGCAATTCTTTCTTCCGCATGTAGAGCCTGTTCCAGATTATCGAAGCCGTATGACTGATTAGTTGGAGCACCCTGAGTTGCACGGGATTTTATTTACAGTATAAGTGAAAAGCTGTCAATATTTTTCAGTAACTGACTGAGCAGAAAAATACAGAAGTGATAGTTTCATAAATGCAAGAATTTGAAATATTTGACTTGACTTCCAACACCTATTGTTTTTGTCCAAAATATAATGAATAAGTCTTCCAAAATAAACGAAAATCCTTTTAGGGTTCAAATATATTTTTGTTTAAATTAAAAATGTTCGACGCATTTTAAGTGTGCTTGAACCAATGCCTCAGTCGCATTTTATTTAGTAATACACACAGGGGACAAATACACCGGTAAGGGGATCACTGAGTGTGATTTTCATTCGTATGTAGACAAAATTTCTGTATAAAGATTCGCATTTGCTCACAAACATGATATTTACGAATTAAGAGATAATACACTGAATGAGATATTAATATATAAGATGCAGATATAAGATACATTGAAGAAGATAACAAAGAAAAATGTATTAACGTGTTTTCTTCTTCTTCTTTCTATTTTCTCGCCTTATTTTTTAAGAATAGACTGTATTGTCGTCGTGAACCGGAAATATGCAATATTTCGACAGAAAAACTTATTGCCAAGCGCTGTCAAAGAAAAAGTGAATAAATATTGGTTGAATATATAGTAAACTAGCGTACCTGTGCGAACCGTGACGAACGGACACCTTAAGTTTAATACCAAACGGTTACAATATGTGTTAACAGCTGGGCATTGATGAACAGACTTCTAGATACCGCCTACATTTAAATTGTGCGTCTGGATTGTGATCATTGATAGTTGTCGAGTGACTTAAGCTATTATTTCTATAGTTTTACATTTGTATGCTTTTTTAAATTTTTTCACGAAGCGAGGTAGGCTCACGCATTTTTATTTTTGTTGTTTTTATTTCAAGCTATTTTACTTTAGTCAATTTAAATTTTTTTTTGTGTTGTGCCATGCAACAAGTTTTCTCCTACTACCTCATACTCTTGGCTACCTATTTCCATGCTAAGAGGAAACGTTGTTAACGAAACATTTATTTGTTTAAAATGTATAAAGGTAACTTTCAATGTACAAACACATCAAAAATAAAAAAACAGTGCAATTAATGTTGAAAATAAAGTTTCAATAATGATTTATTGATCGAGAGATTTCTTGGAACAATTCACACCACTTCCTTAAAAATATTTGACATAATTATTCAGTATTTTCTGTAAGTTTTTCGCTTTTACTGATAGTCACAAAAGTATTTTTAGTCTTAAGAAATCTACGTGACTAAACACGCTGACTTGAATCATTGCTGATAGCGAAAATACTGGTACAGGTAAAACACAAACCAAACCTAACAAGACACGTCTTCACTCTTCACTGTACACCCACATTGCTTCACAATTAGGTACGTACACAGCACTTGTAGACCTCGACAAAACGTTAAATGTGAAAGTTCGTAAAATGTGTTAAATGAATGTTTTCACTACTCGCCTAAGAAACAATCTTCATTAGAATCAACCTACTATTAATAGTACTTCTAGCTGTTGCTGCGAGAGCGAATCTTGAATTAATAATTAAGCAAATAAACCTCCTCAGTCTTCGAAAACCACGGCGTACACAAAAAGTACACAAAAAACGTTAATAGTATAAAGCCTTCTAATTCTGGCGTCACAAACATGGCCTCCATCACCATGGGTTAAAATATACATGACATTGGTATTGTCGATAAGTACCGTACTAAGAAAAATTCAATATAAAGTCCAAGAATATCTCATCCTAATTTCGGTGTGAGTAACGCCTTTAGTAGCAAAAGTTTAGATTTTAAGGCCCTACAACGGTTCGCTTAGGAGTTATTTCGTTAATGAGATATAACAGAGTGAGTGCTGCGGGTTGCATTTGACATGAATATTTAGATGCGTTTTTAAACAAGTTCTTCATATTTTTTTAAGTCAAAGTGCAATTTGTCACGTCTCCTTTCTTTCTTGAGAGACGTCATTTATAAAGATCAGTTATATGTGAGGATTGTAAAACATATGTATACTTCTGAAATAATATAATAGGAGACGATCACTTGCTCTACCACGTTGTTTGCCAGATACCGTGTTTTCTGTGTCCGTGATACCAAAGAATCGATTGACGACGGTCTGTGGTCAACGTTCAAACCTAAACCGTTCAGACAATCTTATCTAAACTGATATTCCCTGATCAATCTGCACGAACTCAACTCTAGGAATTTCAAGTAGATATTTTGATTTTTAAGGGTACTTTACATGAATCTTCAAAATTGTCTCAAAAATGGCTCAAAATGTTTGAATTAACCTTTGTACATGGGTATCGTAAATAACGTTTAAAATAATGGCGAATGGCGTATTTTTGTTCAATTTCTTGATTTTGCGAAAATTTAAAAAGTTCCAAACTTTTTGGGGTCTTTCTACAACTACTACCACACAATATTGAAGATAGATTTTTTCTTAATTAATTCTGCTGTTCAAAGATTTTGAAATAAGATCATGTACAATTTTTCAAAAATATGACTAGTTTTTATTTAATTTTTCATGAAATACAGGCAATTTTTTAAATATTTATGTTATCAAAAAAGAGCACTAATATTTTTTTAAATTTTTTATTCAAGATAAAACAAAGAATGCTTCAGAAAATAGCATTGGTCTATGTTCAGTGAACTCTCTGAATTTCAAGAATTACAAAAATTAGAAATAATTCGAGAGCGTATGTGTTGTAGCACCACTAGTGTTGAATACTACTTCATAACTCCAAACCCTTTACCCTTTTTAAAAGCAATACTTCGAAGAGCGATATTTGCTCTAAACGAGAATGGGGAGGAAGCTGGCGGTCTGAGGGGTGAGGGGCGCCACCGGAGCTGTCCAGCATGTGACTCACGTTGCGGGGAGGGGGCGCGGTGCCCGGCGCAGTGTCGCAACGAGGCGGGCGCCACGCGTGGACCGGACGGCGGCGGCGGTGGTGGTGGCGGCGGCGGTGTGACCTATATTCGACCCAATATAGCGGTCGCGTGGCGTAGCTGCTGCCCCGTCGCGTCGTCTCTCCTCTGGAACACCCGAGTCACCCCGAAGCTCCTGTCGCCGCGCCAGAGCCCGTTACGGGGCAGTATGTTCCCGACTGCCGCCTCATCTGCCCTCCCCCACTTCGCTTCGTTGCCACGCTATACGCCCCACGGCGTAACCCCTCCGCTGAACCGTTCTCGCGTCGCTACTGCCTTATTACTGCTTGTCGCTGCCCTGACACTACTACTTCATCCCATGATACTGTGTCCCTGGTGTAGGACGTGTCTATTCTCGCTTTTATATCCACCCGCCTTTCTAAACCACCCATTTTTGACTTCACTGTGGGCTGTACGGGAAGTAAATACTGCTCTTCTATTTCATACTAATGTACTTATCTCGTAGAGTAATTCTCAACCACTGGTAATTAATTCACGTTTTCTCAGCTGACCATATTCCATGTACCGAATTCTTTGAGAATTAATGGGAAGCAGGTTTGTATGGTAAAAGATTCTACTCGTTTCTTTAAATGTTATTTAACCGCATTCGTTGGGACTTTTGATAAAAGCTCACTCAAATATAATTAAGTTCTTGTCTGTACATTACATGATGCAATATGCATGGGTTATGAAGAAAACGTGTACAAAAGGCGTTTGATTGCCAATCAATGCGATGCTTTAGAGAGGACTAGTGAATGGTTTTTTTTTTGCATGAACAATTATTACTTCAACTTACTCAACTCTACAAGTAAACATCTGAAATGGTATCGTTATCAAGTTTTGTCTCGAGGTAGGACACATCCGTGGTAAATATGTCTACATTTATTTCTCCCTACTGTATTTTAATCACTTCGCCGTAATTGTAGTTTTCTGTTGCTTCTTTCAATCGGCAAGTACATTGGGAGTACGGCAAGTACGGTTGTTCACTTTCAAAGAAGGTTACGCATTAGATTCTAAATATTCTCTCGACGTGGTATCACCCATCCAACAAATATGTTGCTTTTTTTTGGAAATGTGTAATTGTTTCTTTAGATATCTTTCACAATCATTATCTGTGAATGTTCGTAAAATTTGTTAATTTATCAATTACTTCTTGTAAATTATTGATCTGGTAAACGACCATGTAAGTTTAAAACGACTCTATACTCGTAAGTGAGTGATTCGGCGATTGCTGGAGCCGGTATCTTAACCACTGGTACTTTGAGCTGCGAGGTTATCTGGCCTTCGTAAAGGTACAATGTGTCACAACACCTGACGCTCACAAGACACATGAAAAATAAGCATATGTCGCTTCGGCATGGGACTAAAAGGCTCCTTCTTCTTCGACTGGCATTTCCGCTGCCGATGGTTGGCTCTGAATGTTACTGATCTTTCTCTCAAACCAGTGCCAGATGGAACAACTTCTGTATTCTAGTTCTGTGTGACACATTTCTTCATTTAACCTACACGCCAGAAATGAAACATTTATAGTTTCGCTGTAAAATATTATGATTTATAAAAGATTCTGTCTTACTCTCCAAGATTGCAGTAGTCATATTCTTGACTGTTGATTTTTTAACTAGGTCAAACGAGTAATATATGTTTTTGTTAACTGTTTAGGTATTTAACAACTATTCAGAGAACATTTACCACACATTGCTTTTTTTCTGTTCATCCCCTACTCTAGAAGACCGATTGCCCTACTCTAGAAGATTATTTAAAAAACGTAATGTTTTGTTGAAAGATTCCAATTACAAACTAAACTTTGGAGACGTGGTTTAGGAAATTCCTGATAAAAATGTAAATAAAAATTATCTCAATATTTCAATGAAAAGACTACATAAAACCAAATTCATACTAACATTGTATTTTTTGAATCATACCACTAAAATGTTGAAAGAAAGGATGAAGATTCATGTTTGATAAAATGAAATATTCAGAGCGTAGTGTACACAGTATAGTACAGACAGTTGACAGATAGTGTTGTATACTGTATATGTAATTTACAAAACTTGTTTATAACACAATATCTCACAATATTTTATGTGAGAATACAGTTACTGGATGTGTCTTGAAGGATGTAGAAATTCCTTGTTGTATATTGATCATTTTCTAACGAAATTTTATTTTTTATCAATGTTAATGTGAAGTGGAGGTTGTGCGTTGTTAGCAGACTCACTACTGAGCGTTGAAGTCAATTACTATTGTAGAAATTCCGTATCGAATAGAAGACACTTCATGGCAAAAATTCCTTCCACATCCATGGCAAAACCTATAAAATCCAGAGTGCGCAGTAAAAAACAAAGAGAACAGAGACGATTTACCAAAATATAATGTGTTATCTTGCTTATGGTAATGTTTACTACATGTTGTATTTTTCGAGTAATGTAAGGTAGAATAAGATAGGTTTTCATTTGAACTGGATAAAATTATAATATTTTCTAACGGCGTTATCAAAACATTGAGAAGCAGATAATAGCTACAGTTACAAAAGTTTGGGATATAATGCGTAAATAATAAAATTGATTTGATCCAATATTTTTGGAGGATATTCTCTTAACAACTTTATTAAGAGACTTACTGTCGGAATCCTCTGTATCAAATCTCTTTAATATTAGGGAGGTGAGTCAGTTTTACCCACATTACTCAAGACACTCGCTTATTGTAAGAAAACAAATACAATAATAACACTGAGATTACGTGCATACAAACGTATGAAAAGTAAATATTATACTACTAGGACTTGATAACGCGGTACACCTCGACAGGAAAGCCATGTGTAAAAAAACATCCCAAATATGTAAATTTTAATGATCTCTTATATTCTTGAGTTAGTGGAAGGGTGTGTGTTCATGTTTGGCTTAATGATGCTGTTGTGGTTGCAGGACACGCGGTCGCACGTGGTGGCGGAGCTGTTCGAGACGGAGCGTTCATATGTGGAGTCACTTCAGATTCTAGTCACGGTGAGTGCTCAGATTTCCTCATGGCAATATTTTCTTTACCTCGTATCTACGAACTTCTAAGGGGTAACCCGGAAGTGAGATATTTACGGGCGTAAATATACCTTCACTATGAGAACGTTTTGTTGAGCTCTCGTTTTGCTAATTGTGGTAGGAGTGGAGCTGGTGATGCGAGTTACAATTTTGTAGGGAATACTAAAAACTCAATTCTGTAGTTTGTTTGCATATACAAGTAAGTTCTCTATAACCAGGAGAGAAAATGTATATTATCAAATATTACTAAATTCGCTTTGTTGGTACTTATATTCATAATTCAACTATTTATGGTTAGAAGGGAAACAGATTCCAGAGTTCAAAAAAACGTGCCTAGATTTTATTACTTCTCCTCCGTATGTCGCATACAGTTTTTACTGTTCTTTGACAAAATAAATTAAATGAAATAATTTTGTCAATAAATCGTGTTACGACGTCCTATTAACGCATTTCACTTCTGCGTCTGCTTATTTCTCCTCGATGTTCTGTTCTATGTCTTTGTCTTTCTGTATAGGTACTCTGTTTTTAGATATTAGTTTTACCATGTATCTATAAGCACGTTCAAAGGTGTATGTGACGTATAATAGTTTAGAATTGACACGTAAACATTTGTAATATATTTGACATCTCGATACAACTACTTACCACCAAATGGTTGAAAACTATTTTCCTACTTTTATTAATGCATTCTTTTACATATCTAGATCGACATAATTGTGCTGTTTACGATTACACAGGCCTGCAATCGAACAGCTGATTTCATAATTTTATCTGATTCTTCTGTTTTTGGTGTGTCGAATCCTAAAATGATAAGTTTCTTCTTGGAATATCAGATTTTTTCACAATCGAAATGTCACTTGCTCAAAGAGGTAGCTGGAAATTACTAAATTGAAAATTCATCACATTTGGGGAAACAAAACTGAACATGGAAAAACAAATTTATTTTCGCTGCCAATGCCCCCACAAACATGAAAATATATGTGTATTGATCATGATGGGGATCACTGTATTGTTAAGTGTGCTTGCTAGGGCCTGCTCGGACATGTTCATGCATGAATGTATATTCTGAATCCTCCACAATCTTGTATTTCAATTCAATCGTCATGGATCTATTGTCTGTGTGGTTCAAAAGGAATACAATGCCTCCAAGAAAGTTTTAATTTGCCTGACAGTATCTGTTTCATAAGTGAAGGATTCTTGGTGAAGAAGGAGCAGTTTAATATTACGTATTTTGTTTAGAAGGTTTATTTGTTTATTTTAAATTAAATGTTGGTGATCAAAATACAGTTTGGGTTCCTCGAAAAGAGTGCAAACGGTGTCCCGAAGTTCTTCGTACTTGATCAAAAGGCTAGATAAAAGCTTTTCAATTTCGAATTCCTCTGATGTGCGCGAGGGAAAGAATCAAATTGATGATTGTTATTTCTGTTCCTGTAATGTGAAGAGGTGCGATTCAAAAAGAGAGTTCATTGTTCCGAATTCCAATCTTATTCTGCTATTTGTACCATTCCCCATGGTCCATACGACCCTGAGACCAACCCACCTACAAACATAGCTGAAGTACTTTTGCCCGACAAGGTTGGAACTGTACTTCAGCTTGAAGGTAAATCAAGTTGTTCAAATATCGAAGTTAACGAACCATACCTTTTCTCGCAAAAGTATCTCGATGTCTTGATGAGACCTAAATATTCCAAAGAAATCTGCTGAGTTTGTTTATTCTAGACTTACAAGACAAAAGCCATCCTTGCTTGAAATGTAGTGATTCAAATAATAATATTCTATATTCTTGCGGCAGCACGTTTATTTCTTCAGGTTGGCCACGATAAGGGATTATAGCCAATATCTGTAGCACATTTCCTTGCAAATAGTTTTTATAACGTGGAGCGAATATATTCTTATGAATTCTTGCCAAAAAGTCTCGTTGCTGCCTGTCATCGAAGTTCAATTAACATGTAAATGAGTTAGGAATCACAGAGCTCAAGAAAAAGTGCACAGAATATACTTCCCATAGTTCCTCACAGACAGATTTGTCTTTAAATAAATTAATATAATTTTTAAATGTCACGTATTAAAATTAAAACTATTTAAGGCTTGATATATCAAAATGTATATACTTTACGAATTTGTTATCAGTATAGTTAACGAATCAAGTGTTATAAAAATAGTTTTAAATGAATTTTGGTGACAATATACATATTTTGCGAGATTTTCGAGCAATTTATGCTAGTTTTATTGCTGGTGAATTTTCTCATTGAGGAAGCACTCATTTTGGTGCTACGACTCGCCGCAGCCAGTTGTACATTTGCGTATGGAGGGAAGCGTGCTTTCAGGCGCAAGAGTGTCTGTGATGTAATAATGTTGAAATCTTCTCGCAGTCGTTTAAAGCTTTGTTCTCATGAACATTCGTTTGGTGACTTGGTGCTTCATCTTCCTACATAAACAGGCTCCTTGAAGTTTGACTCTTATGCCATGTGGTTGCATCAACGCCAAGTGAAAGGGAGACGGGTAACTCACACTATGAGTTTGACCTGTGATACAGATACCATATCAAGAAAGACATCTTGCTGAGAAAGACAACTACATATTTGACAAATCTGTACAAATGTCCAGAATGCGTATTAAAACACTTATCGATATTTTTGTGATTTGTGAACAAGTAACATTTCTAGAATAAAACGAAATGTTTCTTTTGATAAATAAATAGAGATATTGTCAGGTATCAATTGTCAGGTATATTAATACCTGACAATATCTCTATTGATTTATCAAAATAAAAAAGGTATCTACTTCACCAACAATCCAATTAAAGAAATGTTTCTTTTTGATGTTTACGTGAAAGCAGCCAACATATATCGATTTTGGTCATTAACTTGGAACAGGTAATATAATATTTCTGTGTGTTACTTCAGGAAACATTTCAGAAATTATTCAAAGCAGTCTCGGCAACGAGAAAGAATAATAAATAAAACTTCATTGGGCAGATCACAAGAAGGGAAGTTTACTATTCCAAATATGGAATACTTTTTATTAGCACATTTTCTGAACTATAATGGACGATCGTGCTTTGCGATTTCGTAATTTGGAATGTCTTTTTTACCTCCCTTCCCGAGTAAATAAGTACAAATATAATTTTACAATATTGTGTAAAGAAATCAATAAATGAAGGTGCACGCAAACATTGTTCTAATGAAATTAATTTAGCTTTTCCGTTAATTCTTTTTGACAAAACTTCTCTTCTCTCGTAGCTGGATTATTAATAATTATGGACTGGATGCAAAACGTAAAGGTCACCGTACAACCGACAGAAAATCGGCTTTCATCCTTAACAAATGTTGCAAGCCTGATAGTCAATCACCTGGTTGCATCTGTAAGAAACGTGGTAAAGAAATATTTCCACATTTTTGAACTTCAATTGAGACAGGAGAAGAAATAATCTATTTTCTTTTGCTTTGAAAGAAAATAAATTAATCATTGTTACTCGATAGTAGTTATACAGTTACGAAAATAATATGAAAAGTCAAATTCGTGAGAAAAAGGAAAGCATGATAAAATTGGACTACAGAGCATGCATGGTTGTCAATTGAAATTAAAAATAGGTTTGTAATGCCTGAAATAGAAAGCTTCATAAGGAAATATAATGCAAAATTCGAAAAAAACTAAAAAAATAAAATAAATGAAACTGTGAAAAAATATAGAAGAAACTACAGACTAATCAGAAAGTAGCAATTAAGCATACCTAGATTGAGAAATTCTACTATCCTGTGTTATACAATAATATCTATGAAACTTCCTTTTGTCATATTGAATGATGCGTGAAATCTTGAAAAGTAAGTTAATAAATTTCTAGCAAATAACTTATCGATTCAATAATACAGAAATTACATACTCGTATGAATTAAAGTAAAAAACATATATCATTATACAGAAGATCTTAATTGTTTCATTATATCTTTTAGCGATATTTGCACTCAAACTAACAACATCTGAGTTCGGCCTCGATAGGTCCAATAAATCGTTTTCTGGAGTTAGAAATTAGCAAGTTGCGTTGAGGATTACAGCAGGTCCGTCCTTGGGGCTTTCCCAGTTGTCAGCAGCTGACGAAGAGCCCCATTTAAGCAGGCTGACCCGCCAGTTGAAGCGGAAGCGTGTCTTCATTCACGACAGGATCAGCCTGCCTAAGCACCTCGCCAACAAAGTTGTGCTATCCTACACGCGCCGTTCAGGCTGGCCACTACACGCCGCCCGCTGGCGTCGAAATGTTTTGTTTTTAGATCGGTACTTTCCACTGTTCCATCCATTCCGAGACGTCAGGGATTTTCCACTCTTCGAATCTGTTTCAAAAACAGAACACATGACTAGCTAACGCCACTGATCGTAAGCGTCACGGACATACCTCTTCTCTATGCAAATCAAGACGTTTGTTCTTTTTACGTACCACGTCTTGTTAATTAATGTGTCTATTATCTAATAGGCACATTAGGCAATTGAGTATTGTCCAAAAATATTCTAAAGGGGTTGGTTATATTACCATGAGTCATCACTTATTTGTTGGTCCTTAAACTATAATTAGCTTATTTAGATTTACGTGCTTGATGCACTGTCGCTTTATAGTTAATTGCGATCTGAAATTATTCATAACGTAAGACCACAACGTCGAGTATGTAGAGCGTGGGAAGCACAGCTAGTAGTGAAATGATGACTAAGCACCTTTCGTTTACGTGGTAGAAGAGGAAGATAAATAGAATGGCTTATCTTTGAAGAACTTGTAATAACTCTCACAAACAATTGAACTTTTTCAAAAAGTATTCGGGAATTCAACTGCTTCACTGCAGATAAAACTGCAGACAAAAATGCACTACCTACTGAAATTGAACTCAAGACATCCCCAAATGAAATGTATTATGACTCGAATATTACGGTAAAAATTTGCTGAGTGCGGAATCTCAAGGGGCCAAATTTCTTCCCACATTCAA